AAATCGCCTCTTGATATCACTAACTATCTTGAATCTTGAATCTTGAAAAAAATATCCTTAATGGTTAGCGAGTACTCATGCCCGGGGCCGCTCAGAGGGGGGGGGGGGGGGGGGCATTGGAGACAATCTGCCCCCGGCCTTGAGTGTCAAGGGATCCCAAGGGGACCTCCAAAGGGCCTCCAAGGGGCCTCCGGTTTAGTTTTGTCCCAGGCCTCTGGAAACCTCTGGGAGGCCCTGCTCATGCCTTCGCCGTCGTGTCCAAATTTCAAATTCCAAAAATAAAAGTGCCATTTTTTGCAAAAAAAATTTGCGAACTTAACCTGTATATGGTCTATATAGACCTGCTTGCCATTTTTCGCAGTGATCAGGACAAAATTTTCTTAGTTATCGTCGGGGAACCGAAGTATGGACACACACACATGCACAGACGGACGGGACGGGACCATAAGTGGTCTCTTTCCTGAAAGGAAAGGAGGCCCACTAAAAAAGAGCCCATGTCCCAAGTAACACAGAACATTGAATCAACATTGATTGGATGTGGATTGAGTGCGCGAATGTTGAGGGTTGAAGGTGAACATTGCTTCAATGTTGTCACATCGCATTGTGGATTCCAATTGGGGAATATTCGGATTACACTTCTTAGATGTGGCATCATTGTTAACCCCTCTTAAAATTATGAAGAGTTGGACCTCTCCAATAGGTTTTCAGAGTAATATCAACCTACCACAGCATGGTTTCAATGTTGAAAAAATGAGACTCCTCAATTATTGAGTTGCATGCCGTCTATTATTATGCATTGAATATTGACATCTTTTTTTTTTAGTTCGGAAACAAATTCATAAACCATTTTCAATTATCCTTCGGTCATCGCCGTGTTCTCTTGCATCTTTTTATGGACATTATGTTACCAGGGTAGTGTAGTCCAGGCGCGATCATAATGAAGTACCAAGAGCCCTCACTAGATGGTATCCATGTTCCCCTGTAGCCTCCTAATGCAATAACGGACCTGTCACCTTCCATTAAAGTGTTTTCTTCCCACTTTCCCCTTTTATAGCGCAATTAATGAACACATATATTAGAGAAATGTGGAATTAAGATGTTCTGATTGCAGCGTCTGATTCTGAGACAAATTAAATGTCCAGGTTTAGTGTGGGCGCATAGGAATTTAGGCGATTAGGCACATGTAGAGCCCACGCAGGAAAACCTGAAGTGAGCTAATCACAAATCCTCGAAAGGGAATCTGAGAGGGTTTTCCTCAAATTGCCAATCACTCAGGACACGAGGTTTCAGCGCTGTTTGCAGTACTGAAGAGGATCTATCCCCTCAAACTTCGCAGTACTCTGTGGGCACTGACCTATATAGTAAAAACTGAAGAGCAATTATCCTCTTTAGCATATATAGTTCATCATCCATAGATCATGCGATTCATTTTGATGAATTTACCTCTACTTTGATCCATGGAGGAACCCAATTACCAGGGACTCATTGAAGAATGTTGAATGAATGTTGCCATCAATATTGTTTCAACATTAACAAGGAATGTTGAAAAATGTTGACAAAAATATATTCACATTGAATCAATGTGGTACCTCAATGTTGTTTCAACATTATAAATGTTGCCATGAAACATTGTTTCAATGTTGCTTCCACATGGAAACTGTTGTTACCCATGTTACCTGGGTATATTCATCTCATATATTTGCCTAAAGTTTTACAAATTATGCCTGTTGCAGTTTTTCTCTTTTTTGCAAATTTCTCCCATTTCGACAAAAATTCAAAATTGCGCTCCAATGACCGAATTTGGGTAGTTTGATGCAAGATATCTTACTTTAGTACCTTTAAGGAAATGTATGGGAAATTTGACATTTTTTCTCCAAGGCATGCAGTAAAGGGTTAACATAGACACTCTACCCCAGGTAACACATCCATGTGGAAGCTCTCGTTCGGAGAAAATTCCGGTTTCCTTCTTCACGTCGAAAATTCCTCACGATTATCTGTTTTTGGAGTGAAGACCGAAAAACGAACTCGGTCTGGAGCTCAACGCTCGTTAAGCTACACTCGTTGAGTTACACACTGAGTCTCGACACCGCAGCCATCGGGACGAACTCCCAAAAGATTAAGCTAAGTGTTAATTCATTCATCCACTCATTGATTATTTAAATCTGTTGTTAATTACCTAATTGATTAATTACCTCGCTAACTCATGAACTCATTGAGTAGTTTATTCGTGGAGCGATAAGCCCCGATTCCTCTTACCGATTCCGTACTTGGCCCGATAGAACTCCTTGGTGAAGGGATCCATGTCGTAGAGGAGCATCTGCCGACCCCAGACGTCGAGGGTCCCCCCCAGGCGGAGGTCGGCATCCGTGTAATGGGGGTCGGGCTCCGAGTCCCCGTCGGGGGGTTGGGGGTCGGGGAGAGAACGGGGGCGGATCCCGGGGCCGGACACTACGTTCAGCACCGGGGGTTCTCCATCCCGCGGGTCTTGTCCGGGCAGCCGGGGCGCCTTCGGCTCCTGTTGGTTTCACGACACTCTCGGTCGGTAAATTAGTTTACACTTGGGAAAATCCAAGCTTATGGTTTTTCTGGGCTATGTGGGAAGGAAGTATTTTAGTTAATTTTCAATTTCAACGTGAGTGTTTTTGTGCTCCACTTAACAATTTAGCTTAACTCATGGAAAATGTTTCTAATTTCCACCGAATCACAAATTATTGTCAAGTATATCATAATCATGATTCAATTCAGCGACTTAACCCATCCGCTGACTCATCCGTCTGAGAGACGAACTCATTATATGGGGCCTTGCCTGACCAGCAAATGTCTGCCAAGCAAATTTACATAAATGAGTAAAACCAAGTGCATTCACACAAATTCCCAGATGACCACTGGATGTGATTGTTTGCGTGAGTGTGCATTGATGAAAATTTTCGCTAATTCATTCACTGATCATTCATAGCAACTGATAAGGTGAAAAAATGGCCAGCGTATGGGTTAACGGTCATTTGACAAGGCTCATGCACGTACCATGAAGCAAAACTTCTAAAATTAATTTCCTCATAAAATCCATGTGATTTCATCGTGACTTACCATCACAAATCAAATCTTCTTAGAAATTACGGATTAACCTGGTTTAACTTCCAAACGACATATTTATCAACCGATAAAATCTGAGAATGTGATTTAAATCATATTATCCAACAGATCGTCACATCGTCACTCCTTCACTCTTCCTTCGTGGTTTAATTTGATATCAGATTTGATTAATCACAGATTAATCACCGATCTGTTATCACAGACCGGAGAGGGAGAAAAAATAGTTGACCTTCGGGAGCTTGGCGCGCCGGAGAAACGGCCGGGACCTGTCGTCCTCGAGTCGTAGCACCTCCAGGGTGTCGTCGGCGAGGAAGTAGTGGACGAGGAAGCGGGACAGCCGGCCGGGGCCCTCTTCCCAGAAGGCCCTGAACTTGAGGACGGATTCACCGAAGTCAAGGAATCGCTTCATCCGGTCGGAGGACTTGTGACGGCGGCGCAGTCTGGGTGTCTCTCTATCCTCCTGCGGGCATGTACGTGGGGGTATAGTGTATAAAGGGTGTTTCAAAAAAGGCGCTCCACTCATTTTCTATGGGGGATAGATAACACTCATTCCCGTAAGAAAAAATTCTGACCAGGCTTTATTCTGGCTCCTGCCTATTTTCTCAAAGGTAGAACATCTTGAGAAGGAAGCAGAGAAGGCTTAATCTGACAAGCAGTTTAATGTAGGGTATGAGTAATTTATAAAATGTGAGATTTGCCTTTTGGTGTCAGACTCATTACAAAGAATAAGGATTGCTTCAACCCCGTTAGAATAATACAAATTTTACCCCAGATTCTGATGTGAGGGTACAAAAATTCAAATATTTCTTCACGTTACTCTTCCCTTCGGATGCTGGACTGAACATGCATTGAACATTGCAAAGCCATTACTAAATCTGAACTATTAGAGCACTGCACCTGTCTCTTCCTGATCCCTCCAGCGTACCTGCTCAGACTACAGTTCTAAAAACAGAATTCAAGAACACATGACTTTATGGTTACTTTACTTTCTGTTTACTGCAGAAGAGTTCTAAGGAAAAAAAAAAATGATTTTGATTTAAAATTCAAAATATTTCATTCAGTTAAAAATTAGGAAGAGTCAGTTTGAGTTTGGATAAGCTTTCCAAAGACTGATCGGGACCGGCATCTTATTTATCCTAATTCATCATTTTTACCAAAAATTCCTGGAAATTAACTTGCTAAATTCTGATTTTCCATTTTAAAGGAATGGATTAAATTAGAATCTCAGAAAATGCCAGATTTAGATTTTTATGGATTTTTATTTTTGAGAATATCCCTAAGAAGAAAATTGTCATTTCCCCATATAAAATGATAGAGCGTCTTTTTTGAAGCACCCTATATATCCAAATATACGAGGTATTAACATTTAAAAAAATTAGTTTTGCTGTAATTAGTTTTGATGATGCCCATGAACTGATTGCCGTAACATTCGAGCATTTGATGTCTTAAAATTTCGGTAAGCAATCGAGATGTTATCATGAGATCGTTAAAAAAAACTTTGGAGATAATGGCCTATACCCGATAGAGACTATATGCTGTCCCATAGAGACTTCTTACTTCAATTTTGTATTTGTTTGTTTTTAAACGGACGGACATAGACTAGGACACATGCCACAAGCGGCAACACAGAGTAGAGGAAAGGGAATCCTTATCGGACATCCCTGACGTCATTTCCTCACATTCCCACGCTTTCTGTCATAATGTAGGTCCTATCCAGTTCACACGGCAAGGGGAAGGTGGTGGCAACTTCGATGCCGCTCCGGCATGAGGCCCTCCATCGCTATACATCGGGCCGCCAGGGCCGATGTGGCGGGTGCTATTGAGGTGCACCAAGCTCCTACCTCTCACACAATGGTGCACGGAGTCGTCTATGCTTCAGCTCAAAGAGCAGGTAATACCCGAAAGCAGGCTGGTGAACTGCCGGCCCAGGAGAATACCGCCTGCCGCCAGTCAGATTCGAATCTGGACCTTCTGCCTGCACCCGAGTCCCTATCCACTGAGCCACGGTGACGCGGTCTACTTCAATTGTTGATGGAAGTATCAACAATCCAGGAAATAATAAGTTTGGTCTCTCGCAAAATGAAAACAAAAAAGCGTTCTAAACTTTTTTATGGCCTTCGATTGGCATTTCCTTTTCGTTTTTGCGAGTGAGTTCATTATTCGAGTGAAGGAAGTAATCCAATACATCCAGGAAGTTTAAGAAAGCAAAGCCTGCGTGAGTGCTACCGGGGACTTCGGAAGGTTGAGAACGACGACATCCCTGAGGAAGTCGTCCGGAACGGTCCCGACTTGGAACCCCTGCCGAGACAGGAACCGCCGGGTGAAGGCGTCGCAGTCCACGAGGTGCACGCGCCGCCCGTGGACGTCCAGCCGCCTACCCACGTTCATGTCCTCCAGCGAGTAGTGGCCGCCCGAGGACTTGGGCATCTTCTGCCGTCTGAAGATCGTTCCTGTTGGGGTGGAGTTGGACAGGGATGCGTGATATTGAAAATTTTCCGTCGCACGCGTATATACTGTATATAGAATCTCTGATTCGTTGTCTACATATCTCTTTTTAAAATACATTTACCTCCTACATATCTTGCTTTTCACAGGTCGATCTGATTCACTGAAATCATGACAGACATCTGTCAGTATACTAATGAAGTCCATGGAGGACTTTCCCAAGTAACACATACATGTAAATGACGTCCATGTGACGTTTCCGCAACATCATTTAGCACAAGTCATGTCGCAGCAACGTTGCATGGACGTCACGTGCTGCTTGGGTTCAGTTCACCCCATAAATGTTACACGTGGGTCAGGGTTGCAGCCAGAAATCCTTTTCAAGGAGGACGGAAAAGCTAAGCTGAAAATGTTGATTGACTTCGACCTATGGAATCCAATGACCTCCACTCTTCATTTGGTCCCGGAAAACGCTCCTGACATCCACGAGCGCCTATAGTAGATTGTGATACCTACTTATACCTACCTTGGGGGATGTGGGAGGGCGAGGAAAGGGATTCCCGGACTTGGATCGTGTCGTCTTCCAGATGATAGAGCACCTTCACCGCTCGATGGCCCCGCTCCCAGCTTTCCTCCAGGAGACCCTCGAAGCACAACACCTGCGATTCGAACATTACTCAAAATTGAGCCAGATGGAAGTGGGGGGGGGGGGGGGGGTAATTGGATTGGACCTGGCCATCGCGAAGTCCTGCGCCAAGTTCTCGAATGTATTTGGGGGTTATGGGGGTCATAACACTCCCCCTTTGGAATACATTTTACAGGTTCGATTCGTAAACATTTTTTAATTTGGTCATAAATGCAGAGTGGCTTACCAATTTTTCATACGTCAACCCATTGGGATTTTTTGGGCACGCTCTGGTAGGCTTTGTTGCATCAGGTCTTGTTCCTGCTTCTCAGGCAACCGTTTTCCAAAACAAGCAGAATATCCATCAGGGATGCTAAAATGTTGACTGCACGCTGACGATCAAGGGGAGGCTGACGTGGAGTTAATGCAGGAAGTAAAATTTTCCCATGAAGATATTACGAGCCGGGATTTATTTTCATCACCTGCTTTGCCTTAAGCTTTGCTAGTCTCGCCTAGGCTACTTGAGTTGATCTCGTGAGAAGGATGTGTTATGCGTGATTCGTGCAACTGCTCATTACGCGCATTGCGCGAGTTTTTGCGAACGCCCTCAAAAATTGGCATGCTTGCGTATTTCATGAAATGAGGAAAAACTTTGCCTATCGAGTGGAATTCCGCTTGCTTTTTTCGCGCAATAAGCAGGTGGAGTTCAGAGGAGGAGGTTTTTCGAATCAATAAGATATACCCATTCTTCTCTCCTGCAAGGCCTAAGGTTTTCTCTCAGATTGTGGCACAGCTGTCGCGTGGACGCTGAGCTGAGGTTTAAACAGCTCATGGACGTAACGAGACAGCCAGGCAGCCGCCGCTCCCTTACAATGAAGCAGTACTGAACCTATCTCAAACAATGTTACTGTCCGTATCATGGAATTTGATCGAAACCGAACTGATCCCCCAAATATAACTGGATTGGTTTTGGAAATGAAAGACGGGAAGCACAAGATAGGAGCAAGAGATGGGACAATCAACATCTGCATGGAAAGGAACGCAGTGGAATCGGTAAAAGCGAAGAGCGTAAAAATGCAAGGCAATCAACACCGAGGAGAAGCCGTTGCAAAATCGTTACTGCCATCTCAATAAGTGGGAGACAGAGCTTCAGAAAATACCAATGTAAGACCAGGGGCCAAACCTCAATATGCTCTTGTAAGAAAGGAGGTATTAGATGTGAGAGCTCATGGCATTCTGATAATTTCCTGCCTGAATCACCACTGAATATTGTTTGGTTGAAGACATTGTCAAATGGCCATTAATTCCTTATGACATGACCGCATCATTTCGACAATATTGTCACGTGTTTTCAATGTAATTGACAGCTTAGGAAATCAAATTGGTTATTGCTCAAGGCGTGCAATCGGCAGCATTTTTTAACCTATTGCACGCATTTTGCAAGAAAATGGCTCATTCCATGCAATGGGCACAATGGTTGCATTTTTCATGAAATAGGGAAAAAACGTTGCGCAAGAAGCAATTGCACAAATCATGCATAACAGATGCATTAACATGCAGGATAATTCTTCCTTTAGTCCTGCATCTTTTCTGACATGGACGTCTGAAGCTGCTCTTCTTTAAATTCCAGAAACGATCGGGTGAACTTTGTTTCGCTATTTGGCTGCGAAAACTTTTGGGTCATTCCCATGTTTCTCTGATGAGTCAACAGGGTAATCGACTAAACAAGGCAAGGAAAAAAAAATACAATTCTCAAAGAAAGGTCATCATCACTCACCTGTTTGTCGTAAGCCACCCATTTCGGGACGCTAGTTGTATGATAGGGGCCTGAAATAGTGACACAGTCACCGGGGCCGATTTTCCTCACGCTCTCGAGCGTGTGACAAAGGGGAAATCTTGTCTTTGGGAACTGCCAAAGAAATTAAAAATCTAACATTTCGTAATTGGTCGGAAGACAACTTCTTGTCAGGAAATGCCGATCCTGAAGGCTAAGGTTGAGGAAGGATTATGACAGACTCACTTCCCATGATCCCACAATCCCGGAACCGAAAGGAAGCACCGGGAAACACGCCTCATCTGCATCCATCCTAAGGAAAGGCTGCCTGTTGCCATGGTAACGTTCCCACGGGAGCAGTGGGTCAATGAAATCTAGATAGATTTCTCAACTTTTTTGAACCAATCAAATAAATAGCAGTTAAGAATTATTTATTTAATTATTATCCATATAATAACAGAGGATAACAAAAAGAAGTATGAGGGATTTAATTTGAAAAGACCATCTCATCTCGAGCAGCCTTGACAATACGGCCTCAGTGAGCATGGTGGTTCCCATGTGATGCATAATCTTTGTGATTGGGCGCTTGGAAAGTGTTGGTGTTTCCAGGAATCAACACTCGTGTCTCTTTGAAGACCTCTCTGATTTTTTTTTATCACCCCAGAACGTACGTAAGAACATGTCCATCATGACTGTCGACATGAGTGCCTACAGGGATCAACATTTTAAGGTAATGTTCAGCTCGTCCAACCCGAAAGTGAGCTAACGCCGACTGAGTTGACCTCTTTCCTTCCGATATGAAAGAGCCTGTTCGGCCTAACATTTCCATGCCCTAATGTTTGAGCCTTATCCCTGATCAGATTACTTGTGCCAGAGTTGACTAATACGATGTTCACTAACGTTACTTCAATTTGAATTATTAGAGGAAGTAGTTCAAGCTTACGTTTAGAACCTAGATCATATAAAGTCGCATTTGCTGTTTCATTCGGTCCTCCCCCTTTCAGATTCTGTCAATTGAGTTGATTAACGCCAAGAAAACTGCATGAATTTTCCATAATAGAGTGTACTCTATTATGGAAAGAGTTAGAGAACAGGGTAAGGTTTTGACCTGGTAATTTTTGGATTTTTCTTATCTTTTAAGTTTAATATATATTTAATATTCTGCAACCAGCATGTTCCATACAAGCTAATGACCCTGATATGCTAAAATGAATGTAGAGCAATGTGATAATGTTACATTATAATCTGGAGGTCTTATGCTCATGCTTGCATTTCACCATACACCTTATAATGTCTTCATTAGGGTTATATATCCAATAAAGATCTTCAATAAGGGGTGAGAATTTATAGATGACTGTCTGACTTGCCTTAGCCTTAACTCTGATGGATTGCTTCAAGTTAAGTAGGCCTACAAGGCATATTCTGACTATGTTGATATATAGCCTAGGCCTAAGTATGCCCCCGATTTTCAGTTTAAAAAAAATTTTAAATACTCGGCAGCAAAGATTTGGTATGTCTCTAAAACCTAAAAACAAAGTGATGCAAATGAGTGAGAAGTATGGAAATGGAAGTCAGTTACAATTTTTATCATAGACATTATGAGAAGCCATTAGGTTTATTCATGATGGCAGACAAATGCATATCTCATGATTGCTCAATGGGAGTACATGGTACACAGCATACATGTACCTTTGAACCTGCCATTTACTGTTGTTGGATGTTAGTTATTTAAAGATACTTACAAGTTAAAAAAATAGATGATTTAGTGCTATTTAATATATAGAATTCAGCTTCAATAATAATTCAACTTAGTTTGCCTTTAGCTATTTAACCTGTTAACTGGTGCCATAGAGACAGAAATGAACACTTTTGTGAATCTTTCAGAATGGAAAATTACATGGATATTATGAGAAGAAAGGTTTGCACATGGAGAGGTAGGCCCGAATGCTGAAACCTCCTTTAGTTAATGGTCCTTTAAGAATACCTGGACTCCTGTGGGGGAAAATGAGCTTAAAGGCCTATTTATCTTGCCTAAATGAGATTTGTGCATTTGGGCCTTGTTTGGGTCTTGTGCCTGACACATTGATGGTTTGGCTTGTTGGCCTGTATGAAGTCTGTCATGAAATATTGCTACTGGAGCGAGAGGGACATTTATGAAAATGGGCCAAGTCTGAATTTACCCTTGTTATGAATTTGGAAATCCATTTATCTTATTTGAAATTAGTATCTGACTGTTCTCAACTTTTCAAGTTCAGATTCACAATATGTAACAGGTCAGTTGCCTTAGTACCTCATGCCTTCCTTGTGAAACATTCATTAAATCTGTCTACCCAAAATAACATTCTGTCCCAACCAGTATTATTACTTGCACAGATTATGCACATAATTATTTTTCCCCTCTGCCTTTGAGTCTTTTGCATATCTTTGTATACAGGTTTCTGGACTGTATCACATAGGGCTTTAACCTCCTTAGCTCTATTTTAATACCCTATTTTTTCACCCCAGGGGCTTTTCCCATTTGGATTTTTACTGTGTAGTTAAATTGCATATACTGTACACACGTGAGAAGTGTGGGAGAAGTGTTCTTACAGCTGAGAAATGCACAGAGAACTACAACCTTGAGACTATCTTGGAGCAAATGCTCATAGCATGGCCATACTTCCCAAGATTATAGTTTGGTAAATGCTAAGGAGGTTGAGGAACTTGAGTGACTAACTTAGTGACATGCTAACTGAAAATTTAATATATAAGAGTCACATTTTCCAGGCATCTTTTTTTTTCTTCCTTCCCAGTCATGAACTTTAGATATTAAGGATGAACTGGAGATAAGCTGTGGGATGAAATGCATGAAAAGGTCTAAACAAGTCAAAATGGTGTGATTAAACTTAGCTCTGTTTTTGGCCTATATAAAGTAATACATCTATCGGAAATCATCATAGCCATGTACTTGATGCCCTTCAATTTTTATGAAATTTCATATGCTTGTCAGGTCCATTGATAAACTTATCTACACCAAATTTCAGCTTTCTTGGTAAAGTCGTTTTTGAAGTACTGCAATTTTTATGTTGTCAGAAAGTGCAAATTTCTGGGCTGGTGGTCATCTCTCAAATGCTCATAAGTTTGTACAGATTAGCATAGATGAAATCAGTGTCATTTTGAAGTTATTTAATGCCCTTTGATATGATGTGTTTCATGAAGTTGACTAGAAAAGAAAAGTCTTACTTTCTTTCCAAAAAGTTATTAGCATGACATTCCCAACTTTTCATTTTTGGATACACCAAATTTCAATTTGGGACTCCTGTTTTATCAAAAGATGTGAAGAGTAATGTTGCAGTAAGTGATTAAAAAATATGCTGAAAATTTGCTATAAAAGTCTGGATCCATCTGCTTGATGAAGAAATTTGTGGCTGAACCTGGCCTAGTGGCCAATTCTCTTATTTATATTGATCTGATATTGAGTGACCCATGCTAAACTTGGGCTCAGCTATGTGTTGGAGGAGTGATGAAGAAAGTTATCTGTGGAATATCAAGCCTATTGTAATGACTAAGTAGATCTAGTTTTGCTGTTCTATGTTCTTCATCACCCCTTTGGTAATGAATGACTTAGTAAATCTAATTTTCCTGATGCAAATAGGGTGCCAGATCGGAGCAGGAGAGGTTGCTCAGAGTTTCAACAACACTCTATGTGGGAAACCTTTCCTTCTTCACAACAGAAGAGCAAATCTATGAACTCTTCTCAAAAACAGGAGATGTGAAGCGGGTCGTAATGGGCCTTGATCGATACAAGAAGACACCTTGTGGCTTCTGTTTTGTTGAGTATCCTTTCCTCAGCATTCTTACAGGCATACTTGATTCTCAAAGTTCATTGTTAAGCCACTGTTAACATTTTGAGTGGAGTGATGAAAATTTAAATTTGGAATTGCATTTTCAAATTTGTCAAAATTTTGCTTGTTACAGTGATTTTTGCTTTTTCCAGATTGCTATTATCTCAACAAAAAAAAAAGCATTCCTCTGCTATATTGCTGTATTTTAAATTATTCTGTCATACTTGATTTTCAGCTGTATTCCATTGGATTTAATGAAATAGGCTTTGGTTATCAACCAGATCCATGAAGATAATACATTATGGTCCAATTTGCAAACCAACGTGTGATTGTTTTAGGATGTTTTGTTGTGTAATTTTCAAGCTCCATGTTTAGTGTCATTATAATATATACAATGTCATTATAGTGTCTATAAAATGCAGACAGCTGCATCTGCAAATGCTGCAACAAAGAACACATGTCAACCTTTATCCTGTGGCTTGCATTTCTTAGACCTACCATATCCTTAACTTTGGGATGGTGTGCAGATACTATACCAGAGGAGATGCAGAGAATGCTGTGAGATATATCAATGGAACTCGCCTAGATGATCGTATTGTCAGGACAGACTGGGATGCTGGGTTTATTGAAGGCCGACAGTTTGGCAGAGGAAAGGGTGGTGGACAGGTAATGCATGATTGAGTTTTTTCTTATTCATACCTGTTGTTACCAGAAGGAGCTGGATTGAAAGATTCAACTTAGAATATGTTTTTGATCCATGAATGTAAATGTGCTAAAATCCATGGCTGAGATTCATGGTTGGTATCTCAAAAACCCTACACCTTGTATTTAGAAGCCTCAAGAGGAAAGCTAACAAGCTGCATTACTGCAGGCTTCCTAATTTAAAGATAGCTACATTCAACTTGTCTGTCAAACTTGCAGAAGATATGGTTTCCAGTGTTTTGCAGTTCCATGGTCTTTTCAGGGTGCTTATGTTTTAGGGGTTCTACATCATTATACACAGGTACGGGATGAGTACCGGACAGACTTTGATTCTGGGAGAGGAGGATATGGAAAGATAATTCAGCAGAGGCTGGAGACCTCAGGTGTGAGAGTTGGGGGGGCTGCTCCTGAAGCCCCAAAAGTCCCTCAGCCTCCAGCACCTTCAACTGCAACTCCATCTGTTGTGTAGCTTTCATGAGTAAGGACCGCTCAGTTGTCATTTATGCAAACCTGATGCAGGTGACCACTGTTTCCTGACTAGTGCTAGATCCACACAACCTTTCCCTGTCCTTCCCTGTCTTTTTCATCCAACTCACTGTTCAATACCAGCTTTCCAATTATGAAAGTTTTCCTTTTAAATATGTTTTCATCAAGCTAAAAAAAATAGGACATTTTTTCAAATTTTCTCAAAATCTAATTGAATATGCTAGAATCAGCAGTTTTCGTGTTTTCAAATGAGTTACTGCCAACTTTCCAGTTTGAGTAGCATGGAAGATCATGTTTTTTCCTGATGGATGGGTCATTTTGCTCTTCCCTCCATAAATTTAAACAGAAATATCTCAAAGACCTTTTCACTTCAACTGTTTAAATTTTAGGTTTCATAATTTCTTGTACCAACCTTTGGATCACTTGACCTTTGCTTAAAAGGACCCCACTGCTAAGGGTGCAATTCCATGAACGGATTGGACATTTGCTTGCACACCTGTAAAGAATATGTGAACCCATTACAACTTTAAAGATAGAAATTGTTTTTGAAATATCTGGTACTTTGGGGCACTCAGTAAAGTCTAATTTCCTGAGCCTCAAGAAGTACTCCTCTGATTCATGTTGTAGCAATTGACCCTCATGCTATGGAGTGGAATTTGTAAAACAAGATTTCATAGACTTAATTTTATGTTTCAGATTCAGTTCAGTCATTATGTCTACATCTTGCATTACATTTTGATCATGGACACAGTTTAATTGCATATTGTGCAATGGAAGATTGAATTCTCTGATGGAAGCCCATACCGACATGGCTACTTATTGCATTCAACTTTCCAGAGGGGAATTATCATTGTGATTCTCTCTTCCCTGTAGGACATGTAAGTCAGCTCCATTGGTTCAAAGAGGGAGGATGCCCTTTTCCCTGGAAACTGAGATCCACAAGCACTTCGTAACCTTCTGGCTTCCACACATCACGGTTGAAGTTCTTTCATTGTTTCTCAAAGTGGAGAATGACCTTGATCTCAACTAAATACATGTTTTGTTTAAGAAATGGAAATTTATTCTGTAGTGTATGCATTGGAGACAGCTTTTGCTCATGCATCCAACATCAAAGGTTATGTGGTAAGATCATTGACTCCCTCAGGCTCAATTTCATCATAAACACTTCTCATTCGTGGGGGCAAATTCCCAGGGTCTGAGTTATGTGGAGAAAGCACATTTGCAACAGTGTGGATTTGAAAGACAGCATGACTGATATGCTAACATTTGCATTACCTTGAGTTCTTCTTGGGAGTCAATTGATAGCTAAGAAAGATTTTAAAAAAATAATGTGAGGGCTCAATGGTATGATGCCATTTGGCATGGGTTACCAAGGAGTATTTTCATTTTTCTTTTTTGCAAAGGTGTTGCCTGCTGGAAGGCTACTTTAAAGAATTGTATGCAGCTTTCCATCTTTGTATGCTTTTGTTTTCATGCGAAAAGTCAGTATAGGACCAAAATGGATGTGTGTGAAGATCCTCTTAGTGGAAGGAAAATCCAGAGAAGGATGTGAAGACCAGAGAAGATATCAATAACATCAATTGCACTCAAATGAACTCATAAAAGTTACTTATTGATTTATGGCAATGGACCAATGTTTGGAAAATGCAAAAATCCATGTAGAATATTATTAGACTTTTCTATACTTTGTTGGCGATGGGATTCCTTGGAGCTCTTCCATGTTGTCACCAATGTGATGAAATTGCAGCATGGATTGAAACCAACCTTTTGCCATCAGAAACAAAAAAATTAGTGGCATGCCTCTCAAGTTTAACTGCTTTCTTCCTTTTGTCAACTTGTTCACTTCATTGGGACCAACCTGTAGGTTGTGGAATAAAATTGTTGGATGAGTGATCTGGTATCTTCACATCGCACATCTTTACATCTCTAGGTTGGAAGTCAAGCTGTAAAGACAGAAAGTCATTCTGAAGCACATCACATGCATTGCCCCTTGACATATTCCCATTGACACATTCATTATGTCAATTCCAGATCACTTGTATCACTTTTATTTTACAACCCACTCCAAGGAACATGCTCAGAAGTGTGCTCAAACAAGTTCACTTCTATAACTGATGGTCTCAGAGGTCATCCTGTCTGCCCATTCATTTGAAAATCTTGGTTCAGGATAAACTTTTTTTTTTCATCAGTGCTACATGATAAATACCTTCCATTGATGAAATCATCAGTGATCTGGAAGGAAATCACATAAATTGGAAAAAGTGCAAAGGTGAATTGTTGAGTGAGTTGCATGTGAGGCATTTCTGAGGTCTCCATATTTGTGATCTAAAGACATCTGATTATAGTAAACTTGAAGTCTTCTTTACTTGCTATGGTAACAGGACTGTGGGGCAGAAACATGTGGATAAACTGCTCTATAAACCTCATCGTAATGTTATCACTGGATCAGCTTCCTCCCAGAGTGAAGTATCTTGCCATTAATTTAATCTGTTTTCCTTAAGCTCTCACTTGAGGCAAGAATTTAAGGAAATCAGAGTGTTATCTGCATTTACAATTATTGGTTCTTCATGGACTCAAGTCTGCCATTTTGCAGACTGGGAAAGCATCTCCCATCTGAGCCTCCTTGCAGTAGTCAACAGTTCCATTCAAACAATGTGGCAGAATCCCTTAAGTGCTTTGTGTATGCAATTGTGATCCCAATGCTCTGATGTTCGTTGTTTAGAAGCATCATGAGCAGGACTAATGGTCATGGTGATGATGGGAATGAGAATGGGGAAGAGAACTTGGATGCACAAATGTGTGATCCTGCTTCTTCCCCCAGTGTCAAGCTTCTTCTTTCTCCTGTCAAGGAGCCAGGTCTGTTTCCCCATTCCATTAAGTGAAGTTTATTCTTGCTTGTCAATATCCTGAATGGATCATATTCAGAATAGATCTTCCAGTCGATCTCAGCATTGTAACTGTGAAAATGGCATATGATTTAGTAGTTTGAAATGGCATATTTTTCACTTTTTATGCTCAAGTGAAAAAGGCTTCATGGTGTCATGGCCCAAATCAACAGTTTGAATAATTTTCCAGTTCTTGTTTGTTATTTCAATGCTGTTTTGCCTTTTGGTTATCAATCACAGGGTGGTTCATCATGCCTGGTGGAAAAACTAGTATGATCTGCATAATGATTCATAGATTCAGATATTGGGAGACACTCATTGATGAATCATGGTTGTGAAACATTTTTTCAGATGAGTCAGAGCCAGGGACTTCAGCACAGACACACTCGGAAATACGGAAAGGTATTGCAAAGAAGAAGATCCCCCGTGCCCTGACAAATCTGGGTGCACCATTCAAACCATCTTCCCCACCACATCCTGGTAAAAAGTTGAGAAACCGTAAGATAGCACCTGTAGTCCGCCCTGAGAAAGAGCTGCCTGCTGGAGAACGTGGACGGCGTACCCTCTTCAAGCAGAAGACACCTCTTGTTGCACCTAAGGCATTTGCCACCATTGTGACTGAAGACAGTGTCTTCTACAGAGTTAGTTCTTGCTTTCTCAAGTCAGAGGTCTTCTTTATGGAATGAGAGGGAAGGGGAAGGTCTATATTGTAAACAATGGGATTTGAGACATTCTTTTGTGATCCAGTTCATGAGCCAAGGTCATCAGCACTCAAAACTTTTGACTTCTGAAGGTTTTATACTAAGTGTGAACCTTGAGCCATTACTCTGAATCATGAATGAATTCACACTGAGATTTGCTATTGATGGCATCACTTGCCTCCTGCATTCAGTGGACTTGCTCATCTATTCATTCCCCCTTCTGACTAATGATCCTCATGATAGATGTGATGTCTGGCATCCATTTTGGGATGTAGGACTCAAGTGCAAGTTATAATACTGAGGCCCAGATGTCAGCTTGGTCTGAGGAAAGGCATTTAAACATGGGAAAAGAAAAGATTGGATTCTTAAGACTCACTATGAAATCAACAGGTTGCAACTGCCCAAATGGGGAAAAAAAATAGATTAAAAAGAAAATAAGAAAAAACTTCATATGGAAATTTAAATCAAAGACTCAACTATTTGCCATCATAAGAGAGGACAGACTTGTGATGATGTCACCATGCAGGAGTATTTTTTACCTTATTGTGATAGCCCTAAAGATGGAAAAGTTGAGAACAGGTTGAGATGTGTTTGATGCAGATTGATTAAGTATTCTGTATTGTGCTAGGCCTCATTATAGATTAATATCTGTGACTAAGACCATGTGGCATTTTGATTATATCAAATATTGAAGATAATGCAGAAAGTTGGCACTGAAATCAAGAGTAGCACATTTGTGAGATATTTTTGGCAAACTGAAAATGTCAAATAGCATTGAGTAGAAATGGAGAAGGGATTAGGAAATTTGGCTTCCCTTGATTCTGTCACTTCTTGAATATCTTGAGTCACATGCAAGAATCCAATCTATGATAATTGACACTGTCAAGAGCTGTGGTCAGTGAAGGTTGGAATCAGGTCCCCTTACTTTTTCTCATTTGAAATAGTGGATAACTTTATTATTATTAAAACTATTGCAAGTCTCATTCTCTCCACACTGTTTTATGAGATATCTAATTTTTTCCCCTTTTATTTGCTTGATAGGGGACATATTACCAGGTGGGAGACATTGTATCCCTAGTTGATGTGGATGGAGGGGTTTATTATGGCCAGATACGAGGTTTCTTCTCTGACCAGTATTGTGAAAAGAGTGCTGTGATCTCCTGGCTCCTACCTACCAAAGAGAGCCCTCCCCCTGATGACACATTTGACCCTGCTACCTACATTTTGGGTTTGTTCAATGCTCCTCATTTCTCAATGTCTCTCATGACTGTTTGGCATTGCATTTTCTTCATTTGCAGTATTAGCTCTTTAATACTTTCTAATCTCATGTGCTTGATGTGATGCCTGGTAAAAGTCAATGGCAGGGAAGGCATATAAAACATTGATTTTGCTCATCACTCAATGGCCAATTCTTGCATTATAGTTTTCACTGGTGTATTTCATTATATCCTGTATTGAGTTCCAGAATCTTAATCCAAACCAGTGTTTATAAAAGAGTTGTTATTGCCATTTCAATATCATATCTGTATGTGTGCTGATTTTAAAAATCATTGGTAATCATCTGACTTTGAGTGGCAAGATCATGATCATTATGTTTTCTTTTGGATTGGTTCATATAAAAATGCATGAACCTTGTGATATCTAGTGGCAAAAGTATCATCAGCTCATGCCAGTACCACTGACATTGCTGGGCAGTGCAAGTATGTGACAAAATGATATACCCTTTGCTGTTGTTCAGTTACTGCTGAAGCTTGCTGTATGAAGATGGATGCTCCCTTTTGATGGAAACTATAAAGAGACCATTTGATCTGATGGCAGGCCCAGATGAGGAGCTTCCCAGGAGCCTGGACTGCATGGAGCTGATCTGCCGTGCTCCGTCAGACTACTATCGCACAACTCGTAGTCCCTATCCCGTGATTCGGCCTACACCTGAGCTGGGCTTTGTGTGGACCCGCCTGGGACCACATCCGTGTACAAAGCCCAGTTCCCCCGATCCCGATGATGATGATGCTGCTGATGATGATGACGTAGAACTCTCAGTCAATTCTGCTCACCTGGAACCTGATGACCACCTTGAGGACTCTCTTGGTGCTTTTGATCAAGAACTGTCTTGTGAAGAAGCTCTCATTGCCATCCATTGATGATCTCATTCTTCCCAAAACTGAAAATGAATTTTTATTATTTTGGCTAAAGGCTTCTTCTTTTCTCTGTTTTTGATTCACCCAGATAGAATATACAGTTTCATGGTGTGAGCAAAAAGTGCTCATAAGTGCTTCTCAATGCACTATGACCAAAATTGCCCCAATTTGAAGCAAAATATGCCACTATAGTATGTGAAGCTATGGAATGGAGCTGGGGTCAGCAAGGTCATTCTGTGGCATGCACAGCATGCACTCAAAATGGGAATTTGGAAGTTTAGTTGCAGCACTTTTTTGCAATGTACTGGGTTGCAAGTGGGATTTTTGGACTTCCCCTGGATCTTTTGTGTTTATTACAATGTGTATGGCCATCCACATCCTTTTGTCTCTGAATACCCCATAGCAGATCATGGTAAACATAACATATCTGGAGCTGTCTGTCCATGACTAAAGGTGTTTTCTGAAATGAAGAGGGGATATGAAGGAGATATTCTGGTTTTGGCCCAAAACATCCTCTCGCCATCTCCAAGCTTTTTGTCATTTTCTAGCACATGTGCCACAAAAGGGTTGCTGACCCCAGGACAAAAGAATTGGATTGTATAAACTCTTGCCCTCATGCCTGCCTAGATGTCTTTACCTCAATGATTCGATGGAGGAGTCGGCAAATTCAGGTGACAGTTCCCAGGGGAACCAGAGGCTTTTCTCCTTGAAGCGTTGGAATGCTGTCGCTTTCTGGTCTTGGGATGTCGCCACAGACACCTGTGCCATCTGCCGGGTTCAAGTCATGGGTCTGTCTCTGTCTTTCTCATCTGGCATTCTTGTCAATGGTGACATGCTGTGACCACATGGTTTTCAGTTCCCATTGAATCATCTATGAAGGTGACTAGGAAATTCAATGAAATGAAATTGAGAATGGGCCTGGGGAACACTCAGATTGCACAATAATCTTCAAACGCAGGGAGAATGTCTGTGCATTATGTCTTCGAAAAGCACTTTAATGTGCCAATATTTTCTACGTGCCCTTGCTGAGTCCTGGAAAGCATTATCAGAGCATCAAGGCTGCAGGAGCTTGACAGAGATGGGTAAACAGCATCTGAGTGTCTGAAGATATTTATTCATTGATGTTCATTTGAAAACTATGCTATGCTTGTATGCATCTTGAATACTTTCAGATGTAGTACCTTCTGTTGGTATAAAATGCTGTTTCTTGCTGAAGTTCAGCATCTGTAAAACACTTTCCAAACTAAAACTCTTGGGACTCTGAATCAGTTGTGAGTTATCAAGAGTCCAAATGCTATTGAACAAGGCAACACCAATTAAAACCTGATCTCTGATGGAAGGGCTAATCTGCAGCTTGCAGGCACAAAAATAAAAAAGTATGGAGAATGGATTTTGTTCTTGGTACTTGAAAGATGCAAGAGTATCATACTATCTATAGATCTTGGATACTTTAGGCACCTGTCTTGCCCATCTCTGCAACTGGAAGTGAGGGAAAGGTGTATGATTGGCCTTGTGGAGCTGAAGAATTCAGGAGGAACTTAGGCCCGTATTCACGTCGCTCCCCTAACTGTTAAGGGACCCCTAACTCAAGAAAGTTAGGGATCCCCTAGATGTTTCGTATTCACGTTCCTCCCCTAGCTAAGGGATCCTTAAACACAACCCTAGTGGAAGAAGGTGGGTGAGCTTCCATTTTTCACTTTTAGAGTTCAATGTTGTAGCTCCTGCAGCACCTCCTCAAGAGGTCCTGGTATTTCGTTACTGATGACAGTGTAATATGGGTGTAAATTCACCCCAAGAATCCGTTTTACCTATCTCTAAGGTGATCCAGTTGAAGGATGATGTCAAATGAAATCCGCTGCTGCCATGTAAAAGCCACCCCAAAAAGGATAACCCCTACTCTACATTTACTAAATCTCTGTTCTGACTATCTATTACCACGAAATTTGCACTAAGCATAGGCTACTATGTATTCAAGAGATTTGTGGAATTTCATTAAAATTTATTGCAGCAAGGCAAAGCTACGAGTCTACATTTACTAAATCTCTGTTCTGACTATCTATTACCACGAAATTTGCACTAAGCATAGGCTACTATGTATTCAAGAGATTTGTGGAATTTCATTAAAATTTATTGCAGCAAGGCAAAGCTACTAGCCATATTTAAAAGAAGTTGGAAACCATTGCAGTCGACAGTAGGGTGTGCTGGTAGTTTAGTAGAGGAGATTTCTTCGTTCTGCTGTGTGCATGCCATCTAGGTCGGGTCAAAAACGTAATGCATTAAAATTAAATTTTTTAATGGCCTTTGGCTGTGTATAACTTTGATAATGTTATTCTAAAATAACAGATCAATTGTTAGTAAAACAGAGCTTGCAATTAGGCCCGTACTTGTCACTCTCCCAGCAAACAGTAGAACGGAGCAGTTAGGGGACCCCTAGGTAAGGGTTCCCCTAAAAATGGTATTCACGTTGGTCTCTTAGGGGGCCCTTAGCTAAGGAATCCTTTAGGGGTGATGGAGGAGAAAGCGCATGCACTGAAATTCTTTTATCTTTGCTGCCTCCTAGCCACACACACAGAAGTCAGAGGTCCTCTGCGTACGTATTGATTGCAGCAATTGTTTCATTTTAAATTCGACACATTTTCAGATTACTTTGATACCTTCCTATAGTACTTCCTATGAATGGGTGCCAATGTCAAGTGAAAAAAGTGCCCTACTCAACAGCTTTGTCTGAAATATGCTCATACTTCGTACATTCTCAAGCATAGACTTAGAGATTCCATTGGCATAATTATCTTTGCACTAGCATTGAGTACCAACTTGGGCCTAGGTGTGTGCTCAACATGTAAAGTTAATTATTTATATTCAGTTTTAAAAT